CTATTCGCTATTCGCGACTATTAGCTATTCGCTATTCGGGTTTTCCAACACCCGTAACATGCAATATTCCAGGTCTGGAAGGGTATGCTCGGGGTTTGAGAGTCAGAAAACAGTTCGCACTAAGTACTTTGAAGACAGCGTCATTCTTTTGTGTAGATAAGAATATTTACAGAGCGTACTAATTCTGATAATAAAGTTAGGATTTATTTCTTTAAATTACACAGTGCATTGATTCTGCTGATAAAGTTTTGATTATTAAATTTGTGTTCACGTTCGTTGTTTTTAACTTTACCAGCAAACATTGAAGCACAACTAGCAAAGAAAAAGCAACGAAAGAGGAAAAAATGCTTGCGCGTTTTTAAAAAGATATGTACTCCCGTCCTAAGCGTTCCAAACCCTATCACGAGGTACCCTGGTGCTCGAATTTTAGCGCTTTTGATACTTATTGGCCTAACAACGAAGTCCAACGTAGGCGAGAGGTAATGCCGGATGGAAGATGATTCCGAGAAGCGTTTTGCTTTTGCTGACGTTAGTCTTTGTGCAAAACCATTGATATCAAAGCGTGGGCGCTTTCCGTTGGACCAAAATTTCAGTTGGCATTTCAGGAAATTTCCAGCTATACCCAAAGTACACCCAAAACCAGGAATTTTCACTCCGGTACTTCTAAGATTTTCCGTTGAATTGTTGTCATATCGGAAATTGAACAACTTTTGCATTTCCCGGAAACTTTTCAAAAAACTTTTGCCCCATTTGCCACCAATTTGAAATTTACTGTATGGAATTTCTCAGTGGTTAGAATTGACCCACTGCATTTTTTACATGCACGTTCTTAATCCTCAAGAAAATCAAACATAGAGAAAGGCATTCATGAGGAATCGTGTAAACAGAAACAAAAAGCAACTCGAAAATGATCCTTTTTTGTAGTCTCTACCCGAGATTATCTCGTTTGTATTAACCTTGAATGTTATTGTAAAGCAAATGGAAAACATTAATCTTCTGCAGCTTATTCGAGCTGGTTTTTATTTAAAAGGCTGTCTATTCGTTATATATTTTGGACAGCTATATATCTATTTTAGCAGCTAAAATTTATTATACCTCAAATTATTCCTTGAGGATTTTATTTATAAGTCTACCTGGGAGACCAAGCGTCACTCGCCAAGGTAATGTTTCTCGCTTGAAATCCTGCCAAATAAGCAAATAGAATTCAAGTTCGTTCTAGTTTGAGAGAACAAATTAGCCGTGTACAAGTTCAAACTGCGAAAACGCTAGCAAAAATCTATGACTACTAACTTAAAAACAAACTTTGATGCTGAGACGAACACCTCAGATATTGAAAAGATCAAGAATCGTCGCGAAACAGAACCTTCGAAGATGAGGCAAACAATATGCAATTGGATACTCAACGAAGCAACTTGAATAGTCAATATCTAAGCACAACTCTTGTACAGTTCTTGTGGTAAAATATCCTGATTCTTTTATTTGTTTCTTTTATTGTGTTCAATCAACTCACTTAATTGTAAAGTACGATTTGATATTGCGGTACGAAACCCGAGTAAACGCTCTAAGAGCTTCTACTCTATCTCTAAAGTATAGTGTCCATAAACACATTCAGTTTTTTTGTTACAACTCATTACTTTTAATCACTACTTGTTACGATCAAAACAGTCCGTGTTCCACCTGAATGAGCCGTTAATGATTATTCGCACATTAGTAATTGCTGTAAAATGTATGTTGTGCGACACGTCATACAAACTCCTCAAAATCTTTTTCCACCCTTGTCACACGTATTAAATGACACATGTCACACGAGTTGGCTTAAGAAGCCTTTTGATTTATGGTTTCAGATCCCATTTTTGATTGGTAGCAAGAAAAACTGAAGCAATATTCTAGCGCAGTCATCATGAATCAGCAATTTACAACGACTCATCATTTTTAAGAACTAAACATTGATCATTTAGGAATTACATTTACATGTAAGATGGCAGCCGAAGGACAATCTGCTGATAGTTCTGAGCAAGGTACTCCAAGCCGCAGGAAGGAAAGTATAAGCGAAGTCTTTATACCAAAGGACACAATCGACCAGCCATGCGATGTTGTTTTGTTGGTCAAAGATGGCAAAGAATTCAAAGCTCACAGACGAATTCTCTCAGAGGCCAGTCCTTTCTTTGAAAAGCTGCTGAACAGCGACATGAAGGAGACTCAAGAAGGAGTAGTTAAGTTGGAGATGTTTACCGAGTCAGTCATAGCGGCCACGCTACAGTTTATTTACATCGGCGACGTTCATATATTGGCCGAAGACAATGCCCGAGACCTGATCGTTGTGGCCGATTATTTGATTCTTGACAAACTAAAACTTCTCGCTGGAGGGGTTTTAGTTCAGACGCTGAACGCATCAAACTGCATTTCAACTTACTATTTTGCTGAAAGGTATCAATGCGAAGACCTTCTTTCGAACACTAAGAAGTTTTTCCTTGCAAATTTTACCTCCGTATATGTTACGAGCCGTGAAGAAGTTTTGAATATGTCGAGCAGAGAGGTTGAAATGTGGATTTCAAGTGATGAGATAGATGTTAGCGCCGAGGAAGATGTGTTCAAGATCATTCTAGCATGGATTGACCGTGACAGAAGCCGGCGAAAAAGATATTTCGTCGAGTTATTTCGTCACGTTCGGCTTGTCTACGTATCACATGACTTTCTACGGCATGACATCTTGACAGAAGAACTTGTAAAAGACAATGACAGCGCTCTGACGCTGGTAAAGGATGCCATCAACTTAGTTGACTCTCAAAACTACGATAGTTTCTTTGTTCCACCTCGTAAGTCGCTCGAGACCCCTGTCTTAGTGATCAATGGGGGTGAAAACATCCTGTGTTACTTTCCTCGTGAGAATGGCTGGTGCAAGTTAGGTGAGATACCAGCTGAATTTATCATGCATGGCAAATTTGTCCCTTGTGACGGTCAGTTGTACAGTACCATACAGGAGGCGTCATACTATATACCTCGATCTTTAAAACAGGTAACATATAATCCATACTCTAACAAATGTGTACGATTACCATCCTTGGAAGAACCATGGCGATATTTGAGGAGAATATTTGTTAGAAATGGCGATGAAATGTACGCTTTGATGTCTGAACCATGTGTCATGGACCATTTATTAAACTGGCGGATCCGTGACGGACGGCGGACAAGTCGGCGCGTTTCCCGTGTTGACTTTTCTGGAAGAGAAACAGAGCAAAAGTGTGGCAGCCGAAAACATACTTCCTTCCTCGCGAAGTACAAACCGGAAACAAATTCATGGGAAGAGGTATCATCATTTGATCATTTGGATCAGAGAGAAGATTTTTGCATTGTAGCCAAAGATCATTTTATCTATTTTATTGGAGGCATATTATGGCCTGCTGGTAACGAGTGCACTTTCCTTTCCAATGTTGACAGGTATGACGTGAGCAAAAACAAATGGGACAAAGTAGCTGACATTCAAATGGCGAGAAAGTGGGCTCAAGGAGCTGCTGCTAACGACAAAATCTACATTGCTGGAGGTGTTTCTCAGGGGTCGTGGCTGCCAGAAAGCTGTCAATGTGAGGTGTACGATGAAACAACAAATGAATGGCAGTTTATAACAAGCTTCAGACTTGGACCGGGAAGATTCAAAACCCTTCTGGCTGTTGACAACGAGGTTTATGCCTTGAGTTGCATAACTGACGGCTTCCGGTACGGAGAAACCAGTGTAAGAGTTGAATGTTATAACCCTGAAGAGAATAAGTGGACGATCAAAACTAGACTGCAAGATATACGCAAGGAAGGGAGTTGTGAACCACGAGTCATTTGCTCAATGAAACTTTTCAAAGGATTAATCAACATGCGACAGAGGGTGGAATCGTTCAGTCCTTCCTATAGGCTTCCTGGAGCTGCTAAAACCCAGCCTTCATTCTCTGCCAACAGTACCTGAGCTGAAAATGCATAATCATGAGTACTCTTGTTTACTATAAATCTCCTGTCCAATTAACAGGAGCTAATTGAATTCGAGCCGAGCCAGATGCTTATCTGTGTTACGAATGATGACCAAAATGTAAAATTTTAAGGCTGGTTTTAATAACGGACTCAATAAGAACCAGTAAGGTGCTATTAAGAAGCCGCGCTTCAGGCAAGGAAAACGGAAAAAAGGCGCTTATTATCAGCATCTCAGTGCGACTGCGTGTATTGCTTTTCAGCTTATGCGTGCGCAACAGTGATCAACACGCTCTACTGGTGAAGATGTCTATCGTCCAAAAACGATGTTTTCCAAGTATTCAGTTCAAACTATCAGTATTCTATGGTGAAAACTATCGTCAACGACTGACTCTGAAAAGCTGGTCCACCAACTCTGATCTACCGACACCTAACAAGCGACCTATTGACGTCATAAGTAAAACCAAGTTAAACCGAGGAACAAAGTGACTTAAGTTTAAACCATAGCACATAAACATCGTACGCTGGACAAAACTGTTCTGGATCGACGTTTTTCGACATAAAATTAAGACGAATAAACTGTATCAAATAATTTTGTGATTGTCTTAAACTTTATTAAATTCCACACATGGAAACTTATTTTTATATGGATCAGGCAAGAAGGGCTTGCGTTACACCTTGTCCAAATTTGGAAACTGAGTCACACAAGTATGCATAATCACGTGATTTCTGAGAAAAAAAAAAGTCACATTTGGAGTGTTGTTTTGCGAAGAAACTCTTCACGTGCTTGTGGATATTTTTGTCAAGATTTTGACCAGAAAACATGAGAAAGATTTAAAACTTAATTGGTACTCGGATACGATACTGTCTTCAGAAACTGATCTTCTTTGAAGTCTTTAAACTGTTCTTCCCTCTAGATCGGTCTTCGTCTGTTTTGAAGATGGCTGCCTTTAGTTCAAGTTCGTACAAGTCACAATTGCCTAAAATACTGCTGTGTTAAAGCGTTGGCGACCAAGAACCGGAGACGCTACTATTTGTGCTTTTAGAAATGTTTCCAGACCCGTTTTTGGGCTCATCTAACAGCTTGAAATGACTTTGTTTGGTTTGCCTTGAGGCCCTTCAGTGGTAGCATCACAACCGGTAATCTTTGATTTAAACCGCTGATGCAGGATTATAGTGCTGTTAAGATAGATTATCGCTTTGTTCCTCATGCCATCTCGTCGAATTCATGAAAAAAAAAAAAACATCCACAAACACGTAACGATGTTCTTCGCACAACAACTCTGGTCTAACATTGCGATGGCGATGTAAACCATAACTATTTTTTTCGCACAAATCGTGCAATTTTCCGTACTTTCATAGTTTGTGATTCAGTCCGCAAATTTAGGTACGCTGTAACGCAAGTCTTTCTTGCGTGAACTGTATGAAAATAAATTTCCATGTGTAGAATTTAGTAAGGTTTAAGATAATCACAAAATTTTGTGCATCGCTTTGTTTCTTTTATTTTTTTGTCGTAATACGTCGATCCATGACAGTTTTGTCCAGCATACTAAGCAATGTACGCAGATTCAGTTAAGTCTGTTTTTTATTTGGTCAGATTGTATAAATCATTGTCCTGACCAAGCACGATGATTATTCTGGCTGTGAATCAACAAAAATGGATGGTTTATAATTAAAGATCTTTTTTGGAACAAAATTTCCTTGTCTATACGAAAAAATCTAACAAAATAATTTGCGACAACCGGGAGATAAAATACCCCGACTGTTTACTGATTTTGGACAAAGATTTAGAAATTCCCTGACCTGATACAAAATTCCCTGACTTTTCCCTAACCTTAAAAAGAACCTTGACTTTTCTCTAACCTTAAAAAGAACCTTGACTTTTCTCTAACCTTGACAACCTGCATGATCACTTAATGACTGGGTAAGCTTTGATTTGGGTATGGCCATTACTATTTTCTTTTCTGAGGTCCTGAAAGCTGCGTAAATCCGCGATCTTTATTCAAAACACAGCTGAAAGCGCATTGATCGTCATATGTTTGCCAAAATCGAGAGAAAAAAAATTATCCAGGTATTTATAACCAGCAAGGTTTTTATGTCTCACCACCTCATGATTTTCCTACTCGGTGTCTCTTAAACACTTGTAAGTCCTTACCACTGCCCCCTCCCCTTTCTCTTTCCCAAAACTATTATGTCCAGAAATTCCCGGATGTTTACAGGTATCGATCAGCCGAGTGAGCGAGCGAACAAGCGAGTGTTCTGTACTTACCTTATAGACTCGTATTCACGAGTTTACAACGGTAAACAATTCCGGAACAAATTACACGAAAATTGCTGGTGGCGCACGCGTGAGACCATATAGACCTCATACCTAATAAACAAGAAGGAAATTTTTTCAGATATTTCTATAGAAGACAAATATTGTATTTCTTCTCTAGTTTTTTGAAACGTTAAGGGTAAACAAATACAAATCTTCCGATGCAGAACTGAAAGCCGAGACAATGTGTCCCCCTGAGAATAGACCAGAGCAGTTTATTATCTCGGTCAAAGGGCCCAAAAGGACAGGAAGGTGGTCCTTGATTACGCAAGCGCTCACTTTACCGGTCTGGGGCTGGGTTGTTCAAAGCCCGATTAAGCTTTAACGAGAATTTTGATTTCAGTTTTGTACCTTTTTTCGATGAGGTTTTCTGTTTATATTGTTTGTCCTTCAGTTTTAAATTTGAACAATATCAAACTACACAAAACATGAGCAGTGAAAAACACTTTTGTACAGTAATACATCGATTCACTTTTAATCCTGGGTTAGCCTTAACCAGCTTTCGAACAACCCAGCCCAGGTGATTTGTTCAGAGGCAAAGATGCTGCTTGTCACAGTCCTTAAATTAAAAGGCTCATCAGGAGTTAGGTTGATAGCAGAGGCGCACGAGCGGAACTCCATACCTTAGAAAATTTGGTAACCCATCGATCTGAAAAATTTTGGTTGTCGCGTAACTGTCCGTAAGTACGTCCGTACGTACGTACGTCAATAAATTGAAAAATAAGACAGTAACACCATTACCATAGCTATATCTTTTATTTTGGGTATCCATGTTTTTGTTGACGGCTGTCAAAACAAGATATCCGCTAACCAGTATCACGTGACCATATCGCAGGCCCAGGTTTAGAGCTCGTCGTGGTTGCGTGTTTTTTTTTGGAAGATGACCGCTGACCAGGGAATGTTTTTTTTTTATTTTTCGATTGGATCGCGGGCTCATGCCAGGTTGTTACTTTGAGGGAGAAGCAGGGAGTGCGTGCAAAGGCAAAATGTCGGCGCGAATTTACCCTGGCGTGTTTTTTACTTTCCTTCCGACATATTCCCTGCCCAATCGTCTCGTCAGTTAAACTTTAACTGGAAAACATAGCGAAACCACATGCTCAACAATTACATGCTCACAATTGGTCATTTTTTGAGTTTCCGATCCAAGAAAAACAATCCTCTCTCTTTCTTTCTTTATGGTTAGTTATTGCAATCAGGAGCTCCGCTTTTAGGCTTGGCTAAATCCATATATCATCAACTTCCAGTGAAGGTTCTCGAAGTGTTATGTTGTTTTTATCTGCCAAGTGCAGGGAGGCGTCAGCAGCTTTTCTACTGACATTTGAAAAAAACTGATTAAATTTATTGGCTGTCAAATCGTTTGCATAGGTTTGATTCTGCTTCTCTTTGGAAGCTATAGCCCGATTGATAATCTTCCATAGGGAGCGAGAATTGTTCTTGAGAAGTCTAACCTCATCATAAGTGCGTTTCCTTTCAGCTTCCCGTAGCATTTTCTTTACTAAGTTGCGCGTTTCCTTGAAATTATGCCCGGTCGGTGATGTCACGTGTCTGAAGAAATCGTTTTAGATGGCGATCTCTATACTTCATGAGGTCCTTAATTTCTTGATTTACAAAAGGACAGGGTCTGCTCCGTGTTTTGATAGATTTTATGGAACGTGCAAATCCAGGAAGATAGTTAGCAAGCGATTGGCCTTGTTAGCTAAGTCTACTGTGAAAAGCTCCGCGCTATAATTTTTATAGCTTCGTGTGTTTTTATATTGAGGGATAGGTTTTGGCGACTTTACCTTTTTTAGAAAGTAGTAATTTAGGTCGCCCAAAATTATAATCGACTTGCTTAATATCAGGGCTCGGATAAAATTGGGTTTGAGAACCTCTTCAAAGGGGCTCAGGGGTGCATCGTGTGGACGATATGTCACGCAGTTGACTATCAACTTGAGCTTCTTGAACTGGACGCCTAACTATAGCTGGTGAAAGTTTTAAGATCGACTATTAACTTGATTGCGTATTATGAGAAAAAGACGTTCTTCTGTCACCAGTTTTCGGGAAAAAGATTGTTTCCTTTGGCCACTTGTGCCTCAACTGGAGTTGAGAACGTCGTGGACTGGGTACAAAACGAAAATATAGCCAGTATACAACTCTCCTACCCCTCCCCCGTAGATGTCTCAGGAACGCGGTTACCAAGGCAAGTTCACAGAAAACAAAACATGGCGGACGAAACGAAGGCGGTGAAATCGTCTGAAATGTCGCCTACGGTTATGAAACATGTGTCGTCTAGACCTGGATCGATCTCTCCAGCGCTTACTCATTTTTCTGGAGCTTTGATGGAGCTGGATGAATACAGGTAAGGAAGGATAGGTCTTTGTTTTCGTTAGAGGGAGCGACTTCTGATCTCCGGTAAGTGATCAGCGTTGAAAAAACTTTTTGGCAGCTGCTTTTTAATTGAATAATTAAATTAGCCTGAATTCACTTCAGTGTTTTCATCATGAATTCGTTCTTTTCATTAGTCTATTGATACAGCATTTTGCGTAAAATGTAAATTCGACACAAATATGTGAGGCTTGCTAGAATGGAACTTAGGAGTTTGTTTGTCCGTTTTTTTGTTGTTGTTGTTTTTTTTTTTCGCAAATAACGTTTTCGCACGGTACAACTTGAATTAGTAACACTGCCTATTAATATTTAATTGCGTCATTAATTGTTGTCCTGTGGATCACCTTCAAAAGTCTCATATAGCTAATCTCTGACAACCAGTGACTTTTTTCTAAAATATTTTTTTCTTTGAGCTATAAGCTTATATATTATACCTTTACACAAGCGGCCCAAACTCAGGATGCGAGGAGTTATTATTATTATTTTTTAATCTTTATGCGAACATTCAGCGCGTGAAATGTGACATATTTCCCGCTGACATCTACTATTACATAACCACCGAGTTTGGTTACGGAAAAGTGACCTTCGCCTTGCAGCTTATGGTGGTGTTGTGTTACAACAATTTGAATGTGTAAAGGTTTGTATGGGGAAAAACGGTGATCAACATTATAGCTAAAATTTTGATATTTTTGCAATAAAAATGACTTACCTCAATGCCTTGTCGTCTTTTCTATTGTCATCTCGCTTCTCAGCTTGATCCGAAGCCTTTTAAGCGAGATATTCAACTCACTTAAAAGGCTTTCAGCTATAATGTTGATTACCCTTTTTCCCCATAGAGACCTTTATAAATTCAAACAGTTGTCACACAACACCACCATATGCTGCAAGGTGAAGGTCACGTTTCGTGTAACCAAATCGGTGGTTATGGAATAGTAGATGTCGGCAGTAAATAAATTATGTCACGTTTCATGCGCTNAATGACTTACCTCAATGCCTTGTCGTCTTTTCTATTGTCATCTCGCTTCTCAGCTTGATCCGAAGCCTTTAAGCGAGATATTCAACTTGCTTAAAAGGCTTTCAGATATAATGTTGATTATTCTTTTTCCACATACAGACCTTTGTAAATTCAAACTGTTGTCACACAACACCACCATATGCTGCAAGGTGAAGGTCACGTTTCCCGTAACCAAACTCGGTGGTTATGGAGTAGTAGATGTCGGCAGTAAATAAATTATGTCACGTTTCACATGCTGAACTTTCGCATAAAGATTAAATAATAATAATAATAATAATAATAATAATAATAATAATAATAATAACTCCTTGCATCGTGAGCTTGGGGAGCCTGTGACCTTTATGGTTTTTGAATTTGAGACTGTCGATGGAAATTACAAAATTCATCCAAACCGTACCGTGGAGGGTTTTGAAATGTAGGAAGTTTGTATCATGTTTCAGATGCAAACCTCCACATTTTAGAATGTGGCAGAGGTCAGATGTTCCATAACACATTGTATGCACCTGTAGTGAGAAGTTGACACCATCTTATGTCTGATTTTATACAGTACATATACATTGTATGATGAAAGTGCTAATTAAGCCTGCACACACATTTAACTGTGGGCATAAACCCAAAACTATGCCTGTGGGTAAACCAGGGTGACAAAAGCACAACTCAAGAAAATCACTGCATAATTACTGTTAGTTGTAAATCCAGGATAACAAAAGGCCAAGTAATCCTCTATCAATCTCTAAGACCGGTTTACAGAGTGTCACTAATATGCAAGCCAGGTGACTCAATAACCCTTAAACCCAATAAAAAGGCTAACCAAAAGCTAACTAAGCTAATTTATACGAACCAGAGTGCTAATTAAAATAAACAGAATGCTAGTTGGGCTCAAAAAAGTGTTATTTAGGGCAATTAGCAAGCAAGCCATGTGAACCACAGTAATCCCTACAGTGTATGACATTTGCAGGCAGCAGAATACACTTAGGTCTGAAAAGCCCTCATGTTAGGCTGTTCATGGCAGCATAGCTCTTTGTAACGGAAATGGGAATGCAATAAGCTAGTTTACCAGCTAGCTACTTACTTGCAGTCCGGGACAAAACGTACTACATGAAGATACCGCTCAATCATTGCCACCCTCGGGGAAATGAATAGTGGCTGTTAAAGGGGGCTGATGGCTTAATTGAGGTAAAAACAGTAGAAAAGCCCTCATCAGGACTTAGTGATAACTGGCCACGTAATAGGGGTGGTCGTTTAATAGATGGCCGCATAAAAGGGGCTTGACTGTAGCACTTATTCCCCTGGCTACATGACCCTCTAAAGCAATTTTATTTTCTTGCAGACCATCTATTGCTGACCAAGTTCGTGTTGGCTACTTCAGTCAAGACAGATCATCACAAACCGAAGTATCAGAGATAGCACAACTTAAAGAGATGACAGAGGTCTTACAAAATCTTGTCAGGGTAAGTGCAAATCACCAGACTTCTCAACAAGTTTATAGGACAAAGAAATGCAGAGAGTTTTAGAAAAGGAGCAAAACAAACGAGTTAGATCGAACTGTAAGATTTACATGTATGGCCAGCCAGCTAGAAATTAAGACAAAATCCGATAGAAAATCGAGCAATTTCAGGCTTTAGTGGACAAAAATCTGGTACCAGACTAATTTTAAGTATTTTACAGTCATTTT